ATATATATATATATATATATATATATATATATATATATATGCATCACTCTCTGACTGAAGCAGCACCACTCCAGTTCATGAATCCTCTGTTTTATTGATCATTTTAAACCTACCTTAATTTATGTCTTGATAAGTTCATCGCTGGTCACGTCCTCCTTGAGAACTGATTGTACAGTTTTAGAAGTGCAACATTATTACCACTACTATCATAATCATCATTGAAAATTCGTCTGTTGATTAATAATGTTGAAGTTTTTCACTTGTACGATTGTGCATTACCATGGCCTACGTCAAGTCGGGTGTCGAACGCAATTTTGTTGAGTGCAATTTAATCAAATTCGTAATGGAGCATGATAATTACATCATGGTGGTGTCCCTGCCACGGGGATCTGAACAGAGATCTCTGGATGTATGATCGTACAAGTTCTACCCCCGTGGACCGTCCCACGTATTTCATATTTGTGTTCTCTGTTTATCCCCATTGCTACTGTACGCTAATAATTCCATTCCCCCTCCCCCCCCGGGATGACGCCATCCATTCTTCTGGAATAATAGCCGTGCAACAGGATTTGGATTATCTCCGCGAACTGGAAGCACGTTTGGAACTGGCCCAGTTACAGCAACAGCTTTGTGTCGAATTGAGTCAACTCACCCCGGAAATGCAACGCTCCTCGCGTGTCTCACCGCCCCGGACCCGTACCAGTCCGGCATTGGCCAGCGCAAGCTCTGTGGAAGAGGCTGTGTCCCAGTTGAGTCATGGCCCATTGCTCAGCTTGACCGAGATGTTTACCAACTATGCTGATCCGTTCGGTTTGCATGAGTCCAAATTGTGCTTGTTGTGGGCGAGCGGATCGACAGTAAGTGATCTCAGTGTTTTCTGCAGTCGTATTATTCTTGCTTATTCCTGTCTCTCTCTCTCGTAGCGGATCCGAAGGGTTAATGGGTGACAGACAACACTACGGTGATCCTCGCATGTCTCCGCTTGTCTAGACAGAACCAGTTGAAGCATGATTTATTCACACAATACTTCTGCGAAAATATTCGTGTGTAAATCACAATGAGTGATCTTGTATAGCCCAGTTTTTTTTAAGGGTTGTATTCTCCCTTCCAAGATGCGTGTGTCCCCGTTTTTGTCTTGCTAATGTTCTCCAAAACAAGGCTCGATTGCGAGCCACCATATCGCTATTCTATGCATCGGTTAATTTATTTCTTAGAACGCTAACATAATACACTTCTGCGTGACGATTAATCAGTTCCATCAATAGATTAATGGAGTATTTAGCGAATATGCTACACAATGGTCGTATCCCTTATACCACTCAGGCTTTTCCTCTTATTGTGTCTCTCTGTTCCCTCCATTGTTGCTTATGCTATCTGTAGGACAGGAAGATGACATCGATAGATTCGTGCATTTTAAGGTCCTATGTGGTATTTTATTGTGCAAACGAAAGGTTTGACAATCGAGAACCCTAAAAGTCCCCAGCTATTGCCGCTGAACGTCTCCGACCAAGTGTTCCCTGAAGCAACACCCGCCTATGTGGGTATTCACCTAGGGGAGGCTTTTATATTCACTACCTCACGACGCGCCCGATGGCTCTTAGCTCCGCTGACCGTAGAATTCCAATAGTCTTTCATTTCCGGAATTCCGTGCACAATTTTTGAAAATTCTTTAAAGTACATCTAAAACCCTAATGCCTCGGGAATGCATCTGATGTCCTACTTTGTTCCCCTATCACGAGCAGTTCCGTTGGAGATAAAATACTAGTGTTGTGTGGTACTACTCACATTTGTGAGTAGTTGGTGCGCTGAATGAATCGGTTGTTGGATTTCTGCGAGTGGGTTAAAAAACAATATTATTTCAACTACTGACGAGACAAATAGATTATCAGACTAGCGAGCACCGATGAAGAAACGATCGCAAAATACACACCAATCGTGACAAATCGGATGTTTCGTTCTGCGTATTTCCTATTCGTTCTGATCCGATGCAGCTATTCAAATGAATAACACTCCTCATTCGACCACTGGACTTTTGGAACCATAATCCTAGTAGTTAGTCTATCTTCTGTTAGTTCTTTGTTCTCAGAACTATTTGACCCTAGAAGGCATTATGAGCGTATACCAAATGTTCATGTACCGTATCGCGCTCCGCTTGCAAACCCCGTTTTCCAGAACTGTGACTACCTGAATGTGATACATAGATGAAGTGTTACGAGGTGCATTGCCGATAAAGTACTATTTGATTTTCCCACCTTTAAAGTTGTTCACATGAATCGCGGAATAAATGTCCGAATAGGCCTGTCTACGTGTATATCTACCATGTTTAGTCACTCAGTTGCCTTATTTAAACTGGACGGGGTAACCAGAATGGGCTTTGCCAATAATCGACTTACGCTCACTTAGTCCAAGCTGGTTTTCCATGCGTTCCACTTCTTTTTCTGACCGCCAGGATGAACTACTTATCAAAGCTATCTGGCGTGATCTCTTGCGACAAGTGCTTTCGCAGTCGCGGACCGGTGCCGATCTCGGGACCAGCTTTAACTACATGTCCCCCCGAAGTCCCGTCTCTCGTCATTCACCTATTGGAGCATTCCCCTCCCAGAGTCCTGATAGACAATCCAAACAGTTGATCGAGTTGTCCTTGGTCGATTGTTTAACCCGATTGGGGCAACGATTTGTCACGGAAAGCGGTGGATTTGGTTCCTCTCGTGCTCAAATGTTTTTCCCATTAAGTAAGTCATGGGGTTCGTTGCCTACTGTCCTTTTTCTGTTTATTGACATAACTTTTTTTGGGGAAATCGAAGTGTACTAAAGTTCTGACCAAATTTGGGGACGTTTTTCTTCAAGCATTTACAAAATATCGCTGGTCTCGTATTCGTTTTTTTAAATTTTACTTTCGATTTTTTTCCCTTCTATGTGGCTTGACCTGTGAATAATAGATCATGGTGTTTATTACATACCGACTGCTCGTTCAATCGGTTGCTGTACACTACTCTCGGCATGTACTCGACATGAACCGAAATTCCCTGCCCTCCTGACACCATTCATCTTCAACTCCCTAATAAAACTTTCCATTCATTTTACCTCCTGCTTGTACCCCATTCAGTCACCATCTCTAGGGTACAAAATCTTGATTATTCTTATCGTGGGTGGATTCATGCTAAATCTTTGATTTCCTTATTTCGGGCATTACTTTTTTTATCGTATATCACTCACTTAGCACAATAATGACCCCTTCCCCTCCATCTTTGATTTTTGTTTATCTTTTATCATTGAATACTTGTTTGTTACAGACTCCGACGCTCTTCATTCTAGAGAGGGAGAAAGAACACTGTATCTTGGAAGCAAACACGGCTCGTTCAGGCGGATAGTGACCGAAGGAACTGCGACATTTCTTAGTTCACAAGATGATTGCTACAGGATTCCGGGATCCTGGACAAATTTTATTTCTTGAAATCTTAACGATTAGACCAGGCATTAACTTTGTTCAGGAAACGTTCGTGTGTGAGACCAGTTGCGAGCTGTCCTTTCGTTTAATAGGCGATTATGGGTTCCATAGAGATTACCTTGGGAGACGCGCCACTGCTTTATGAGCATTTCTTGATCCCAAAACAAGGCCTCGTTCATCCTTAATGGGACCAGGAAATTTTGGGGGAAATGTGAAATGAAGTGATGGGTTACTTCGTGTTGCATGATTGGATATGTTCCGGATATGTACCGGGACGAGCCAAAGTGAAGAGATCAAATTTCGCATTCAGTTATCAGCGTGGGTTGTATGTAGTCAAGTCGCCAAACCACCGATTTCTCTCTCGCTGGACAACCGGTTTTTTTAATTTTTACACCAAAAAAGTGGCCAAAAATTCATTATCCTTTTTTTCCGCTTCTCCTTCACTTCTATGAATATCCATAACTTCATCAATAATACTGTACTTCTTTGAACTAGACGCTAACAATTCATCCCACCAAAAGTGAACAAATTAAATACGTTTCTGGCTGGTCATTGTTCATCGCACACAATCAATATACAATTTCATACGTGTATTTTTTTTTCTTCACCCTTTCAGCTGAGATCGTTTCCACTCTGGAGTATTTCGCAGTCCAAAAGAAGTTCCCCGTACACTGGGTCCCAACCATTCTGCGGGACACTCGTCTTTTGGCCGGATCTTATTTTGTCGACGCCTACGATCAGTTGTTACACTCGAAAGACTCATTTTGGCGCCGACCAGAGGTGAGAACTCGCTTGTTCTCAGCCATGGTTACCGTGATTGAGGATTTTCTCACCTCCGGTTCCGTACAACTGGCCATGCGTCCGCGGATGCTGCAGGTCGGACGTATGCTCGATCGGGTCACAAGCAATCTGGTCGATTTAAATGCGAATTCACTGGATCAGAAAACATCCGGCGCACAGGGGAAGGACGAAGAGGATCAGACGCAGGTGGTTGACCGACTTCGACGTGTGCATGATCAACTCCAACGATACTATCGTTGAGCCGACCGGCTCGGTCACACCTGTACTATCTCCCCCTCTCTCTATCTTGCACTAAGGGCATTTTTATACTTATCATGTGTGGATGAATACATATTTGCAATGAATGTTTGTGTACCAGCGTTTGTATGACCATAGAAATATATCAGTTCTTATTTGTTATTCCTTGTCTGTTTGATGAAAGCATTCTATACATACAGAGAGGCTGTAAAACGTAACATGCAGGTAGTTAAAAGTAGCGTTCACAGTAATTCAAATTCAGTGCACATTGGATTGTAGAATTCCATGTGAAATCAACTGAGGTCATTTTGACCGTCAACGCTGATTTACTCTCTCGGCACATGCACAGATTCACCCCACACTCCCGCCCATTTCCCAACCGTGACACCACATAATCTGTCCAGGTTCAACAACATTTCGTACCTTTGTGAAAGGATACAATTAGTATTATGGCGTCATTCTCCGGCAATCAAAAAAAAACACTCAATGAACCACGGTACTTTTGACTGACCGCTTGGTTAAGGAGCTAAGGTGGCGATCGCGCCCCGTTCCGGAGATTGGGAATTGCAATCCCACCCGACTTTTCCCAATCCGTGCCGGTACTTGAACGCCTTTAAATCACTCCTTTCTGAAAGGTTTACATTTGTTTGCGCACTAAAACGAGATCGATTAGTGGAACAACACAACTGCGTTGTTAGGGCTCCGATTCGAGCTCGCAGTTCAATAATTGTTCAATCGAACAATGCTATTTCTCATTTGTCTCATATTCATCAAATCTGGTCACGTGAACATAGGCTCGTAGCTAGTTCTTTCTCATATTCCATCTTAACACAACTTCTAGATAGTGTTCCTACGGTTGCTTCAAAGTTGCCCTCCCCAATGATCTATTCACATCCTTCAGTGATCAAGAAGTGTGTGCTCTCTTTCCACTCGACATATTGGGAAAGCTGGCGCTACTATCCTTATGATCCAATGAAGAATAAAACGAAACTGGTGGGTGCTCATTATACCTACACTTCATTTCGGTCTATGCAACAGTTAGTTAATCTCCCACTTCAGCGCTGCAACTCCATCTGTTTGTTGTCTGTAAGTTACTCATTTGAATAAACAAATGGAGGAATTGATTAGAATGCTTAAAGAATTATCAGGGTTAAGAAACAGAATGCAGCGGAAATAGACTTGCGAACAACGGAAGTGGAGTTACGAGCATCCTTGTTTACCGTCCATACTCTTTTCTATTACACAATGTGAATTACGCTAAACGGGGAAATCCCCATGGACAAATAGCATACTGTAAAAGGGAGAGTACGGGAACATTCATGTAAGGTTCAGTTGATTGATTGATTGATTCTTCGTTTAAAAAATGTAAGATTGTAAGTTGGGGGAAAACAACAAGGAGGAGGGTGTTCCACAGTTTGGCAGTTTGGAGGAAAAAAAACAGGATTGGAGTAGAGAGGTATCACACCTGGGAACCGAAATCCGATAAGGATGACTAGATGCTTGTGTGCGCGATGAGCAAGTAAAAGTTGAAAGAAGAGGACCTGTCGAGGCAAGTTCCGAAGAACAAAAACCAAAGTAGTAGCGGTAGAACAGAGACTATGAAGCGACTGCCCGACGATGGGCTAGCGACTGGAGACTGGATGCTAGAGAAGTATCATCGATTAGCCGGATGGTCTTTCGTTGAGCACGATTAAGAAAGGAAAGGGAAGAGGACGAAGCCTCACCTCACACGTGATTACAGTATTCAAGAGCAGGGCGGATTTGAGCTTTGTACAATAGAAGAAGATGAACTGGGGTGAAAAAAGCGCCTGCCGCGAAATAGAAATCCAACCATGCGCGCAGCACGAGAGGCAAGTTTAGCTTTAAAAGGGGACCAGCATAGAATAAGTTATAGGCAATCCAAGAGGGGAAACAGTGTGGCGAACAGTGCGATAGGAGAGGGAGCAGTGCAGGGTGGGGTCATCAGCAAAAGAATGGATCGGGTTGGCAGTTTGGGAAAGGAGATCATTTATAAATAGAAGGAAGAGGGTGGGCGCAACTAATGAACCTTGGGGAACACTAGCGTTCACAGGGAATGGCTGAGACAGAACCCCATCAAGTCGGACGGAAATGGTTCGCTTACTGAGGAAACTTGATATTCACACTACGAGCGCCGGAGGAAACCCGAACCTGGATAGTTTCGCCAGTAGACCTTCGTGCCAAACTCGGTCGAAGGCCTTCGAGATGTCAGCCATATCTATGATTCCCGGTAAGCCCCATCCCCAGGTCCCCAAGCAGTAATTAATTACCCGGATTTCCTGGTCAAGGTTTTAATATCCTCCTGTCAGTTTTGAATGCAAATCAATTAATCGTTTGAGTTACACTTGGGATTTTTGCTCATAGAATTGTCGCATGATAAACGGAAACACTGAAGCTGTACGAGATGTGTCCATGAATTGGACGATGCGGGCACATCGGGTAAACTTCCAACAATCAACATGTGTTTCAGCATGCAGACCCCACATCTGCTTATTTCTTAACCAAGCTTTGCAACTTCAGCAATTATAGAAAATATTTTTTTTTCAACATCTGTTGACTTCAGAATATTCCGATACTTGTTGATCTGACTCGCTTGCTGCGTCGAGGCTAAAGAACTACAGATCTTGGCTAAAGGATTACGGGTCGAGGTCTAAAGGCTGATGGGAAAAGGTGTAGTTCAAGTTTGTCCTTCAAAGTATCTTCTGAACAGATGTATTTTTCGCTAAGAAGGAGACATCTTATCAAGTGAAGCTTTTGACAGAATGAGACGAAGCTATGTCACGTTTTGTGCACTATTCACCCTATGTTGTTTTTCCATATATCTTTTTTTTTGGATACAGCCATCAGGGCGTCTAAGCAAATAAACTTCCAAAAACGGAAGGCAACCATTCTATTTTGGTTCAGCTCTGAACTTACTTGACGAATTAGATCCGTATAGGAATGTTTGGATTAGCCACAACGAGAGAAAACCAAAAACAACAATAATTTTCGATTGACGACGCTTCGACCCTCTTGGAAGGCTTTTTTCAAGTCAATTAAGAAGCGAACATCAAACAAAAACATCATGGGAGAAACCGTATCCAATGGAGGTGCTTGTAATTGGTCTAGGGATGGAGTTAGTGTGTGTGTGTGTGTGTGTATCCAAAAACGTAGACATATTAAACTTGATCAGTCTGAAGGTTTTGTAAGTTACGATGTTGTTTCTCTTTTTACTCATGTTCCCATTGAAGAATCTCTAGCACTCCTTAAAAGACTTCTCTCGAATGACAATTCTTTGTGCGATAGAACCACACGTGATGTAGGAGATATATCATCAAGACGATTTCCACATATCTAAAATCCACCCTTTTCACATATGACGGAGCTGTATACCAACAAACTGATGGAGTAGCAATGGGTTCTCCAATCTCACCAATTGTAGCAAACGTTTTTATGGAAAGTTCTGATGAAGAAGTACTTAGATCTGCCCCAACACCACCAAGAATCTGGTGGAGATTTGTAGATGTTACCTTCGTACTGATCAAGAAAGATTTTGTGGAACCTTTCACACAGTTCATCAACCAGTTTCACGAAAACATTAAGTTTACAATAGAAAGAAAGAAAAAAGTATCAACTTCTTAGACTGTCAAGTTACTTTCAATGATTTGGGTACCTTGTGGATATCTGTGTACAGAAAGCCAACCCACACTAGCAGTTATTTGTTCTACTCTTCTGAACACCCCGTAAATATGAAAGCCACTGTGGTGACCAACCTCCTAACCAGAGCTAACCAGTTCGTCTCAAACAAAAAGGACAAACGCAAAGAGATTCAACTAGTCACAAGACAGTTGATGGATAACGGATATCCACCAAATTTCCTACAAATAATTCAAAAAAGCATTAAAAGATCTATACAACCAGAAATAAAAAAACCGATTGGATCGCAACTAGTTTCATACCTTATCGCCGCAATACGTCAGAAGACATCCAACGCATATTGAAGCGGTTCAATATACGGGTCACTTTTCGGGCAACAAACACTCTTCGTTCATTTCTGATGCGACTTAAGGATAGACGATCAAAAGCTGATCAATCAAATCTTATTTACAAGATGTAAACAGTGAACAACCAAACAAGTCGACAACTAAAGACGCGGGTATCCGAACATGACAAGAATTCTAAACACCCTCCAAGAAATGCATCTGAGCCTAGGACCCTTGAGAGGGACTCAGCTATTGCTCTACATTCCATCTCTGACTTCGAAAAACCGATTATTCTGAAACAAGGTTTCAGGTCATATAGAGAACGTCCAATTTCGGAGTCACTGTTCATCAACAGCGATCCACTTTGCGTCAATCGATCGGACGGTACCCAATTATCTGGCTTAATACCAGTTGCACAACCAACCGCTCGCACACACACACCCTTGCTAACAAACAAGATCTAATGTAACCACACCACAAAAACCACTCAAAGACTAATCTTCCATCTTCTATGACGTTATCATTAACTCTTTGACCTCTCGCTTCATTCACAACTTCCACGATCTCATCTACTACCCCCCCCTTTCCACACACACACTAACTCAATCGTTCCTATCCCTAGACCAATCACAAGCACCTCCATTGGATACGGTTTCTCCCATGATGTTTTTGTTTGATGTTCGCTTCTTAATTGACTTGAAAAAAGCCTTCCAAGAGGGTCGAAGCGTCGTCAATCGAAAATTATTGTTGTTTTTGGTTTTCTCTCGTTGTGGCTAATCCAAACATTCCTATACGGATCTAATACTATGAGCACAATGCACAATTTCTTCAAAAACATCCGTTCCAACTTTGGATGTGATACCTTGTTAATGGACGAATGTCCTTCGTTGAATTCTGACTCAGTATGAGCAAGATTGGTGTTCTTGGTAGCGGCGACATCACCTTTGAATGGTTACGTAATCCAAACAGCGTACCTATTTGGAGCTCTCTCGGGGCCCGTTACCAAACCCATGACTCAACCAC